TGGGAGCGTTCTGCTGTATAAAAAGAAAAATAGTGGGGGGGTGGGGGGGGGGGGGGGAGGTAAGCCAACAACTATAAAAAACACTTTGTAGACATTTAAGTTTAGGTCTTCCATGAGAACTGTCTTTAACTTAAATGGAAGAATATTACATTTAATGCTTTCCATATAAAAAGCACAAGTACTGCATGACAGACCAGGTACTTTCCTCTACATTTCAGGAACCAAAGGTCACTCTGTTGGCTGCATCTGATAAACTCTAAAGCAATCCAGGAGTCTTGCTCCTTCTAGGAGTCCGGAAGCACCAGACAAACTGATTTGCTCCTTCCTGTTTCAGAAAATTAAAAATCTCACTTATACTCAGAGGAGTCTAAAAAGCTCCAACAAAAAGGTCTTGCAACATACTTAACCAAAGCCAGAAGCTTGTCAAAAGCGAGTGCTAGTAGGACAAGACAGAAGGAATTAAAACCTTTTCTTGATTCTTGCTGAAGAAGCAACAAACATGTGCTTGAACTTGTCAATGGGTGGTTTTGTAACTTTGGTGATGAATCTGTACCTTCCCTTCAGCAAAATGTTGAGGTTTTCTGTAGCAAAGAATAGGCTTGTGACAAGCAGATATCTGCCAAGGAGTATAATACAAAAGGATGTTGCTCATGGTGCAAGCATTATAAATGCTGATCAACGTAATCATCTCCACACATGGCCCAGAAATAATTGCACCCGAAAGGAAGGCTAATATTAAACTCTGCTGTGTTATACCTTTACACCATGAAGAGCACAACCTTACTTTAAAACTTTTCAATATTGTATTAAGACAGTGGATTTTCCTGGAGACAAACCCTCAAATTTAATAAAACACTTGAGACTGACTTGATTTATAGCATCTGTTTTGCAATGCATTTGAAAAAATACAATTTTTCAATGGTCCAACCGTGGCTCCTCCTAGAGAAATGAAGAGTGAACAATTCATCTTAATCCTTATCTGTTTTTATCATCTTTCCTTTCACTATAATCTTTGATAAAGATATTATCGGATAGTTATAAGGGCTTTTGTCAAATAATCAAATGGTTCTTTTGCTACACATAGTACCTATCAGCCCAACTGACCTGGAAATAAAAGTATTTACTCTCTTGTTGGAATTTTAGTAAACATTCCCAGCATCCAACTGCATTTCTCACATCAAATCCCATTGGACTCTCTGAATCACAACTACACGTAGATCATTTTCACAGGTATAGTTTGCGCGTTGTCGTAATTTTCTCACAATATGAAGGGACAGCCAGTAAGCCATATACAGTCACATTCTATATTTCACAACTTCCTGAATTTCTGAACAAAATTTTACAAATAAAGTGATACCTGTTAAACAGAACGGGCTATATTCAGTATGTTCATATTTTGCTGAAAAAAATGTGGAGAAGCAAAGAACAAGAGGAAATATGAAGATTACCGTTTCCTTATCTAATTTTACTACAGACTGGGGATTTGCTGAGTCAAAAAGAAGTGATTCAGTGAAAATGTGCATCACATATCACTACTGCAAACCGTTCTCAACCATCCTTACTGAATTACTTGTAGCCATAATCAATCATCTAAAAACCATCACACTGAACTAACATCTACACCTGCCTTTTATTTTAAATGTCTCTTTTTAAAAGAGTGGAGAGGTATGGAAAGCTGGTTTAACAAGCACACTGAACCCATTGTTTATGGCCTCTATAAACATGGCTTAGTAAGAATTACTGACTTAATCAGAGAGAACTTATCTCCTGGTGAAAAGAGCACTTTAAATTTCAGAAATGGCACCTTTACTGTGAAAATCTCTTAACTTTTCAAACAAACTCCAGGGGGCCTTAAACACCAGGTCAGTAAATAAGCAGCAGTTAGTGTGTCTGTCCTGCTCACAAGCAGCCAAACACTTGAAGTAATTTAAATCTTTTATGTGGAAGTTTGCAAAAACACCGAGAAACGATATTCTAATAGAAGTATTAAGGGGTGCACCTCTGTCTCACACAGATCACATGCTAGAAGCAATATTCATCAATAATACTAGCACGAGTTTATACTAAATGTTATTTTATTATCACTGCCTACAGTTGGCGGTTTTGGCATTTCCTACCATAAAAAAAAAAAATCTTAATTTAAACTCTTTTCAGATGAACAATTTTATTGAATAGTTCATTTAAAAAGAAAAAACCAAACACCACCCTCCTCCCCCCCCAAAAAACGGGTTTGCATAACTTCATGGCTAAATTGGTGCCAAAACATAAACCAAGTTGATCATGAGGTTTTATAACCAGATACAAATGTGATCAACATCTTAAAAAATGTTGTCACAGAAAAAAGAAAATGTACCTTCCAATAATTCTTTCAGAAAGGTAGAACTCTTAACAAAACCTAAACATTTTTAGTAGCTAGTTTGTACATTAAATTTGAAATTACTATGAAAGTATGATTCACAGCAAGTCTAAAATCCATTTGCTTAATGGCTTGTCTCTACTTAGTTAATAGTTTCCATTTATTTTCTTAAGAAAAACACCACAACACTGCAGACAACAATGTGTCAATCTGGCTGCCAGAAGCAGGAAAGGCAACGGATATAAAATTTTATTATTTCATGCCCCAACAGCAGCCAGAAGGACTTAATGAAATCACCCTTAGATTTACAATCTGAAATAGCTATTCAGCAGACAAATCTGGTTAAGCTGGATGTGCCCCCTGACCTCTCAACCCTTTGATCTGGGCACAGCAGGTGGGCTGCTGCCCCCTCCTGTGCATCTCCCACTCTTCCGCCCATCTCCCACCCTTGATGTGCAGTACCCTGATCCTGTACAGGTGATTCTCAAGATCCTTATCACAAGCAGCTGTTGCCAACTGAGTGACAAACATCACTAGGGCTGATCTAACACTATTGTACAACAGAAGAAAAACCTTCTACGCTTACTGGTAAGTCTACTTGGTACTGCAGCATTTGTCTGTCTTAAAACTTACCCCTCAAACATACATACACACAGAATCTCTTACTAAAACACAGTTATTATTTCCATTTTTCCAATAATTGGATAAAAGACAACTCCCAAAGTAATTTGTCATGTTTTTAAATGCATTTTTGTCGATACTGCTGAAACCATGTACAGCCATATCTATATTATTAAAAAACTAAATGTAATTTAGTTACTAAGATTTAAGTGTGTGTGTGTGTGTGTGTATATATATAACCCCTTCATTTAAACCCTGTAAAAAAGCTACACTTCTTCAGTTATAGCTAGAAAAGGCAGCGATTTAATGACTATAAATGGATGGAAAAAGCTAAATATTACTCCTCACCCCAATCAAAGAATATAATTAACAATTAACACTACCACTGGAAGATGCCAGTGGTCAATGGATTCTCAGGGTGTCGTCTGCGGCAAGGGGAAGCCATGTGGCACCGTCAGTACTAAGCCCAAGCCGATGTAACCTGTTTCTCAGAGTTCGTTAGCTCCAACTCCGTGCATGCCAAGTGGCATATCACCAGACTGGATCACAAACAGAGGATCCTCATGGCTATCTGAAAAAGACCAGGTAAATATGCCAAAAAGTGCTTCCAGAATACATGCGTGGCGTTCAGAGGACTGAACACACAGCTTTCCGTTCATCTGTCTGCATAAGGAAGAGACTATCGACATTAAGTGAGATCACCTGCCGTGTCCTATCATATTAAAGACAGCATGAAATTTAGTGAACGTTCTTTTCCTAACGAATGTATTTACTCATGCCAGGTTAAAATAAAACAAAAATCTGCTCATATAGTGTTTATGATATGCACAACTGTCCTTTCTGCTTAGGAAAAATGTTAGAAAATCATTCTAACAAATGCAATGTGGTTTCACACACAAATTCCTTCTGGATAATCTTGCAAGAATTAAAATTCTGAAGTCCCAGAAGAAGTCCTTGAGTGACCAGAATATTAAAAAAAAAAAAAAAAAAAAAGAGTATAAGAAATACTTTTCTAATCATTAACTTGAACTCTAAAGGTTGGTTTTGCATCCCAAACAGAGCATAATAAGGGTGGGCACTACTGTTACTCAAATGACTTGGAAGCCTGGCACGGAAGAGTATACAGCCAGCAGCTCAGTATCTGACAGCTATACCGAACTATCCCCACTGGTTAATCAAAACCACATGTGCCTGAATTCCAATGGGTAGGTCAAGGGCATTCCTCTTCCATCAGCGCCATCACACTAATAACCTTTGCTACAGAAACAGTTGCTGAAACAATCGTTTACTATGACAAAATGTAAAAGCCTGCCAGCTAAGTTTGATACCACTTATAACACAAAGGTCAATTTAATATAATTTGAACACTAAAATAGCATACAGTACGCAGGTAGAAAATAAAACAAGATTATGAAAGGGATGTGTTCATTTGATAGAGTTTCATTTTCCTATCTTGTTATTTATCAGTACTAAGTACTTATCTTCATCTAATATGAATTCAATTAGTTCCGTAAGCATGTTCCATTATTCATGTGATAGCTCCAGCCTTGCTTATCTAACAGCTTATAAACTTTTAGCCTTCTTTGAAGTCACTTTATGGATTGCTAAATGGAAATCTTATAAAGAATGACTAACTAGGTGATGATAGAAAAGCTGAAAAATAAGAGCACAAAACACAGCTCTATATTTTCTACCAAGATTTTCCCTCATAAATCAGTTGGAGCCCTCTGACCTATAACAGGAGATTATCTTATCTCACTGGAGAACATTTCAGTCACAGCAAATTAGATTTAACAGTCAATGGATATGCTTGATATTTTAATCATAAGAAAAATTTGTCATTTTCCATTAAAGTAACTGCTCCTTCTACAGAGACCCCGTGTAACATGGGAAACTGCAAACTAACTTCAAGATACACAATAGTTTGGAAAAAATCTTTTGAGGTGAGAGAGAGGTTGTATTTTGTTTAAAATCATTAGCATTTCTGCTCTATTTCTTCCAGAGGACCCATTCCAAGATAGGGATAGCAAAATCCCACAGAAACAACACTAAAGCTAGAAAAAAAAATTTTTTCCCCTTTACACCACAGCTTTCTCTGTGCAAGTTTAGGCTTCCACTAACATTTACACAACAATGACAGATTCTGCAATTGGAGCTGCTGGAGCAGAACCATGAGCCTATATATAACTGCAATTACTCCCATGGGGCTCTACAGTAGATAAAGAGTCCACCTGTCTTAACTTGAATATAAGACTGGGGAATTAATCCCTTATCCTGAAACTAGAACACGTGGATTAACAAAACACTTTTAAAGATCTATTTGCTGAAATTTCAGCATTTAAAGAAAAATGAATACTGAATAATGACAGTAGTTTTTAGTTGTAGTTTATAGAATTATTTTGATATGGAAAAATTAATACATTGTATTTTTAAAAATACAAAACTGCTAGATCATGAGAAAAAAGTTGCTGTTGCTACGAAGTTATTCTAACAAATAAAACACACAATTTTATACCTACATATGAAGAAAAAGAAAAAGAGAGTAAGCTTTCAGCATCAAAAACAGGCAAACAGGTAAACTAGTAATTGCCTAGCTCATTTGACAAATGTCACCTTTCCTTTGCCCAAGGCACAGAGAAATTATGCAGTACTTGCCAACAGATACAATAGCCCACTGTGTGATTCTATTTTATTTTTCAATGGAAAAAGTACAGTTAGCTGGAAGATGCATTTCTATCTGGAACTATTCAATTTATCCTTAAGAGCAGAGGGAGGAGACAAGACAGTTTGTTTTATTTATTTAACTTATTTCATAAGGCACTTTGAATAACTGTACTTTGCCAAAGTGTGTCTGTGTTCCAGAATCTCCGGCTATTCAAAAGCCATACTGGATTTAGTACTAAACAGATTTTTTCACAAGTTACTAAAACGGATAAAAATTGGCTTCTCCAAGAACAACTCCTTTTTTTGAGTTTTTACAGATGGAGTTTGGAAGGCCTACAGAGCCCTGCAATCTGAAGAACTGAGACAAAGGAAGAGGTAATGGGTTTATGTGGCAAGGCAGGAGTGAGACATCATGCAAAGCAACTCCAAGGTGTAATTATTAATTTTTTTTCTATACCCATTGCCAGGCTAACCACGTAGCTCTTTGTGAGCAAAAATATTTGTGAAAGCTGACAAGTATCTGTATTGAGGTATTATCCCATCCTCTACCAGGTCTCTTCCTTCTTTTTCATAGACAGATACCATAATAAGCATGCCAATGATTACCTGGTACAGATATGGGGCAGGAAGTTTCTTGATCGATATGAAAAATATATGCTATACTATTTCTTCCTAGATATTACTTTGGTCCTGTCTATGCAGTATTCAAGGGTAATTATCAGAAACCCCTCTAACACAAGCATATGATGTGCAAACAAACGTACGTGTTGACTTTTAAAATAATTGCTTATTCACTAACACATTGTACTGCAATTCTGTACTTTATTTAGCAATATAAAGGGCATAAAAAAATCATCTGTACCCAAGATGGTAAGGAAAAAAAAAAAGAGGTCCTGCATATTCCATCTAGCTTCTCACGAAAAAAGTGACTTCTAAAATTACTTCACAGTAACGCTGGAAAAAGGGGGAAGTTACACAGCATACTAGTCTAAATTTTAACACACAAAGACATAGAGGATCATTATTACATACATATGCCCTAGTGAAAGAATATATGTTTGATTGCTATTTCCAGAGAAGTTACACATTTTTATGGACAATATAAGAACAAATATTCTAGTAATATGCATTACCTTACGTGATGTAAAACTCAGCTTTGTAAATTGTTATGTATCCTAAACATTAAGCCTAAATTTCAAAACACATCTATCTAAAACAGGGACACGAGCCAATTAACTTTTAAGGGCATTTGCAACTCCTACCAGTCCAACACTGCCTGCTAATTTAAGAGCCGACAAAGAGGCAACGCTTTCTGGGCAGGAATACCTCTTCCCACACGGAGCATATACACGTTGTTCAGACCTCCTGTGTAAAGGGGCGCAATTAATAAGGACTAGGATTTTCCTAGGGATCTAAATTAATAGCTTATGTTGTCCTCCAGATGCTTTTGAGGAAAGTCATCAACTGTTTCACCAGTACTGGAAGCAAAAGCAAATGTGCTATTTCCACTTTTAGAGTTTTTAAAAAGTCACATGAGTTACTCTGAATTGTTTATATGTGAAGCTTTCTGTGAGGGCTGGTTTTCTGCCAGCTTTGTGTTCACATTAACAGCAAGTTCCTTCTCTTCAGATCTTTTGAACATTAAAAAAATTACAATCTGTCTGCAAAAGCCTAAAAAGAGAACTGTAACTGTCAACATTTTGGTTTAATATCGACTCTGCCTTTGTGAATACAGAGTCAAACTAAGGCAGTAAACTGATTAAATGAAGCAACAGGATGGAGAGGGGAACACAACGTGAGCTCGTCACTGCTGAACTGCAAACAGAAAGTATGCCCAAAGAGTACAAGGTATCAACTAAGACTCCTTTAAAATCTAACATTATCATGTATGCTTAACTTCAGTTCTCTCAGCACTCCCAAATTAACAGGGTTATTTCATTTTTAAGCATATGAATGAATGTATAATTGCTTGCAGAATTTAACTCTAAATCATAAAACTATATATAGTTTCAGAAATGGTGAGAAAGACTTACCTCCATCAAACTTAAATGTATTCCAATGAGGTAGGGCATTGGGGCACTGCAAAGAGGAAGAAAACCTAGCTTTACATTCTCATAACACTGGATTAACACATGTGACTTATAAAATTAGCTACAGGAAAATACTGGGATACTGGATTAGATTTTGCTTAAAAAAATATATATATAAAAACAAACCACATGTGAACAAAATTTTACTCCATATTTGAAAGACTTTTTGTACTATGCAATATCCTCTCACTACTGTAAGACTAATTTTTCTTGACATCAGAATTTCTAAGTGACTAAGTTAAGACAGGTATATAAGGACAGCTATTAAACGTAACTATAATACTGGGGTCTTTTTTTAAAAACAAATAAAATGTGTTACAGTTTTCAAAAAAATACCCAGACTTTTTCTAAGAGTATTCTTTAGAAAAATTGATCCTGTGGTAGTGTTAAGTGGTTAATTTAATGTATACATATCACCCGGTACTACAAGTTTTAAATCCTTTGAATACGGGTCCAGACACATTTTAAACAATTTATTTTTAAGTATAAATCTTGAAATGTTTACATTTATGAAAGAAAAATATAAAAATTATTTTTGAAGATTCTGATAAACTCCAGAGTTACTGGGCTATACGCTGATACCATTATTCCCTTCAGAACACAAAACTTAAGTACACCAAGAGGCTCTTAGGCAAAATTTGTAGCCTCAAACACAGGCGTGATACTTCTGTTATCAAACAGGATGCTAACATTTAAGAGCAAGATTGATCTTTTCCGTCTTCTCTTCCATGATGTTAGCAAACACCAACATGGACTATGTAACACAAGAAGAATACTGAATGAAAGTTGTATCTTTGTGTATACAGTATTTCTAATATTAAGCTTATTACAGGACTCCCACTCAACTGATCAGGGAAAGCTTGTATTTGCACTGCTTATCAGAACACATCAAAGAGGATGCCAAAGCTGCTAATTGCAAATATGGCATATACTGCCTGTTAAACGGAAAGCACACAGACAGACACAACTTTTAAAATAGAGCCTCATTTCATTTTGGATACAGAAGCTCGAAGAGCTCATTTTCAATTTCAGATGAAAAAATGAGAGAAATGTCACTGTACTGCCTTGGATTAAAATATCTTCCATATTGCTTTGATAAACCGGTGCCTACTGCTCAGTAAGAGAAGTACAGTGCTGAAAAAACTACTGAAAGACACCAGATCGGCAAAAATCACTCTGCTTCTCATTTTCATGAGAAATACCTTTAAAAAAAATATATTTACTGATATGCATATTAATATTTATCATGTTTTATCACCTAAATATTTATCACCTAAAACTGCTACTCTGTTGGATGCTGCACCAAGAGATGGAAACAGCCTCTGTATTAGACATTCTACACGAAAACACTTTTTTTCTTTTTGAAGACATTAAACATATATAACTTCAAAAAAACCTTACAAGTTCATTTGTAGAATACTGAAGTGCTTTGTATCACATTACATTACAACTTACTGAACTGCTTAGGCTGGCAAGAATGCCCCTGCACAAGCTTCGCCCAGTACAGCACCTTATGAGAGACAGCCCAGAGGGACTGTTAAATCAGAAACTAACTTGGTACAAATCCTGAAGGTTCTGCTTCCTTGGGAATTCCACAGATGAGAACCAGAACATACATCCAAGCTCTTGGATAGAAATTTTTACTATACAACATGATACAAACTTATTACATATGGATTGCTGCTCAACTGAGGAGTATTTTTATTTGTCATTTTGCATGTTTTATTTGCGACAAATGCTCTCTCTCTCACCCACATCTCTTCATTTCCAATGGCCACATTCCAGGAGCAAGAAAATACCCAGTAATTTTATATTCAAAGTATAAACCATTGGTTTAGCTGAGAGCTGCACAAATGCTCAACTTCCCTGCGTGCCTGGCTATGCTGCTCAAGACTCCTCCAGTATGCACTGAAATGAATGTGTTTCTAATTAAGTAGTTTCATGAACACGACAGCTTCAATCTCAAAAATACAAAGTCTGAACCTCGGCAGGAAGTCTTAAGACTGCAAATGTCTCATCTAGTGGAACCTTGGCTAATGTAATGAAAGGAAGCAGGAAGAGTGCAGTATTCCAGAAAACCAGCCATTTATTAACGTGTCCAAAAGTAGAGTCTGTCACCAAGCATAGGAAAATCTGAACCTGTAAAAGTTAAATTAACTGTATCATGTCCATCTTTCAATCCCCCAGTTTATCAACAAAAGAAAAATAAGAATGCCTAAACCCTTAAAACCACGCACCCCCAGGAAGATTTCAATGAATTACAGGAAAGATACAGCTTAAGATATATGGATCAGCTTTGGATGCAATGAATCATCTTTTCAATTTTCTAGTGACAGACATTACATGTAAAGGCAATACAGCATATAAAACTATTACAGGGGTTGCATAAAGGCTACAGTAACCTGACTTTTAGTAGTGTTTTGAAAGCTGTTATTTCTTTAAACTTGTATTACTAAACATTAAAGGGCTCCAGTCAGGTGCTTAATGGGCTGTACAGTGCGTACGCTTGGACAGACAGGAGAAAGCGGGAGGAACAATTTGATACTATAGAACTACAAAGAGTGGTTTTAGCGTACCCACCGATAGAAAAAATAGCTCAGGTTTTGCTAATCAATATGAAAAGGAAACTTTGAAGCAGTGATTTGTTAAGGTATAATAGTTTTGCAAGTATTTGTGTTAGTTTTACAAATAGTTGCAGAGATTTCCACTAGGGAATGAGGTAGAGCACAAAAGAAGACATTGGGTATTTCTTTGAGAAACATTTAACACATGGGTGAAAAACTGCATCACGGGGCACTGGGACATGGCACTAGTGCAAGAGAATGACAAGCAGACAAGGTACATGCTATGAAGGGCTCCAGAAGATGAATAGCATGTTTGATGCAGAAGAGAAGATGGGGAAAGTAGAAGGTAAATGAAGAAGGTTGAAAAAACCATACAAAAATAATTCCTGTAAGAAGTTTTTCCAACATGTATAAGCAATTGCTTGGCTTACAGAAGTCAGAGGGAAAACACCAAATGGTCAAAGCTTGGGCAAAGATGCCTGGAGCTACACAGATGAATAAGAAAGGCCACATTTCAGACAGGCAGCAAAAGAAACACACACCATTTAGAAATGGATTAGATCTGAAGACTAACAAAGAATTTCCCAAGTTATGGGAATATATGAAAAGAAATTAACTCATTTTTATCCACAAAAGCCATTGCTTGTAATGACTGAAAGACACCAAAGAGGAATGACAAATGGGAGGCATCTACAAACATCCCAGCAGAGAATCAAGGGAAACAAATGCAGGTTTTAGTTTGTGTGAAAGGTGACAGGCGTGGAGAAAAGCAGGTCTGTGATGCATCCCTGGAGCACCTGTTTTTGAAGGTGCATTTGTGTGAAATTTATTTATTCAAAACTGCTTTAGAGTAACCATTACTGTTCACCACCCAAATGTGGACCTTAAAGTGCTTTCTCTATGGATAAGAAAAATAAAATTATCTGAATATCTATTTTATCAAAATTAATTTTGTTTGTCAGAACTGACATTATTGTTCAATAACACATGAACAGCAAAGCAAAAGCAAAGATATTTTAAGGATAATTCACCATGATACCTCCTTCTACTCCCAAAAGTTTAACTAAGCAAACATCATAAATAACCTCAATAAAATATAATTCTGGTAAAGAGCATAAATATTTCCAATAAAAATCTACCAGAGAGATTATATTCTTCTGTCATCACTCATAGATCTGACTGGAAAGGAAACATACCTGAAAGTAAATGCTGAAGGTTCACGTCAGGCTTCATAAATTGCTTTTAGCGCCATTTTTCTTTATCATGCGTTAATCATATGCCATTACTTAAATACTCAGCTACCATCCTGTACAAAGGAATATTGTGTGCCTCCTCTTCCCCATTCAGAGCACACTATAATAGTTCTTCCTAACTGCTACTCAGGTCCTGAGACATGAAACACTCAAGCAGTTTTTAATATTTTATCAGGTTAGATGTGTATTTCCAAGACTTTCAAGTAAACTTCAGTAAGACAGACTGCTTGTATAAACAGGAGAAGCGCTCCCCACAACCTTTAATCCTTCTGGGACCCATGACAGATTAAAGACTGCCCTTCAGACCAGTCTTTACCTACTGCTTGACACTTCATCAGTCCTGGGGCTTCTTACAACCACAACTCCTAATTATTCAAAGTTGTTTGATGGAGGCCAATATCCATTAAGTACAAAATTACGAAGTATCAATTTCTACTGCACATATTTACTGCTTAAACAAAATGCCCGCCTAAGTCTTTTGGAACAAAAAGAAAGGTTATTACTCCTCTTATGCTACACTGGTTCCCAATGCAATCAGCCTTATTTATAATCAAATGAGTTATATAGGTAAATATCAAATCATTAAAGTAGCAATGCATAAGCATGAATATGGATATTGTGGACTTAATGGCTATATATTGCCCATTTATTACAGTTGCGTTTTTACAATTTCTTTAATTCGTTTCCTTAGGCTAACTAGAGACCTCTTAATTATGCTCCCAAGAGGTGGGCAACTACTAATTGGAAGAGAAGCAGGTGAAATAGAGGGACATTTCCTCTTAAGTGTAAAAGAACCCACCCTTAAAAAATATTGCAATTCACCAGAAAAAGTAATGTAAAACCCAAGGATCTCAAAAATGTTCATAGTTTACAGCTACACAGGGATTTGTACCATTTTGCTTCATTGTTCCCGGAAAATTGATTAGATCACATTTACTAAGTTCATGTCTTGATATACAAATACTGACTTAATGTGTCGCTCTCTCACACCAGCAGTACTTTACTCTCTAAGGTAGTCTCCTGATTTCTCTGCAGATTACTCATTGAAATGCAACAGAACTCAATCCGAAATTTATTGGGGTAATTGATGCAAATTAGAAACTTGACTGCATAAATTGGAATTATGTAGAAAACATACAGCTAAGAAACCAGAAGAGCAACTACAAGAGCTTTTATTGAGTACACAGATGTACCAGGCTAAATCGAAATGCCTACCAAGAGGCTCATGACGAAGGAATCATTGTTTCCCAAGCAGCAGGAGTACTCGCTCTCCAGTTACCCCCTCCACCTACTTAAATTGAACTATATGCATATTGAACTATATGCAGATTTAGAAAACAGGAGAAAGGGAGTTAAAAAAACTCCTGGAGAAAGGGAAAACTGCACCAATAGAAACGTTTGTTCAGCAGCTGTGCCAGGGTGCTCTAAGAAGGTGGCTCTCCGAATATATTAATGTTGGCTGCTAAGCAGTGTATCTAATATAAAAGACTGTTTTAATCACCCTAGAAAATATACTGTTGCTTCTGGTAAAAGCCCACAGAATAACTCCAGTGACAATGCCCTGGGGTTTAGAGAACGTACTAAGCTGTGTTACCAGGTCAGCAAAGACAGGCTTTTCTTACAGGCTGATTTTAAACACAGACACTGAGCACAAAAAGGAAGAAAACAGACACAGTGGGAGTGTTTTTATGCCACAAGAAGAACAAACTGGAAGAAGTAGTGAGGAAAATTAATATACTGTTTCTTTCACATCAAGAAACATTTAAATTTCCAACAACAATAGATGGACAAGATCTGGCCAAATTTAAGTAGTAGTATGTGCTTGGCTACTGATGCTTGATGGCAGTATCTCATTAACCAGTACTTTTGGTACCTGCTGGCATGTACTTTTAAAACAAAACAAAACAAAAAACCAACCAGCAGTGCTTCATGTGTTTCCTCTGTTGTTCTGTATTCAAAAGAACAAGCAATTGTGCATTAAGGTGTGAAATCTAATGATAGGATTCCCACCAATTTCTAGTCTCCTCCACCCAAAATATTTCCCTGGGCTGAAAATATATCAAAGAATGGTACCTAATTAAAAAATTAAAATAAAGGATATAGCACTCTTCCCCTTGCTTCCCCTCCCCCCCCCCAATTAATCTAAACGATAGGGATCAGATGACTGAAGTCATTCCAGACAGATGTACATGGTACTACACTACTATTACTGGCTCAGCATCCCTAGTACAAATAGCCAATGTATTGAGAACAAACATTCTGAAGATACAGGCTTTTGGCATTTTCAATTCTGTGGTTAGGTATGCGAATGAGGAATGCAGGTGAACGTAAATATTAAGTTTAAAAAAATCCTTTCAAGAGGGAAATGGGAAGAAAATTACCCCCCTTCCACGTTACAAGTTAAAAAAATTAGCAAAGAGCAAACTGAAAAAATGAGAAACCACAGTGTTTTGGAAGTACTTGGTGTAAAATGCCAATAAAGAACAAAATGCTATAGAAAAAAATTGAGCTTTAACAACATCAGTGAAACGATTCATATTGAGCATGTTTGTGGCAGAGTTGCCATTCACTTGTAACAATATCCAATCTCCCACCTCTTCCTGCCTCACTCAAGAAAGCGCACTTCTCTCAACAGCTAAAGGGAACTCTCTGCATCGAGCCTGAAGTTTCTCTTATGTGAAGTTGGCCGAAAGATCTTCAAGTGGCAGGAGGAGCGTTAGTTATTCTACCCATTAGCTCTCTCCAAAGAGAGCTATTCTACCTTTTTGTAGCTCTGGAAAGATCCAATAGTAGTTGTGTCCCCCTTCCCTCCCCAGGAAATAGAACAAATTTCAAATTTCACAACCCTGGAGCTGTCAGTGTATCAGTCGGGACCTTAGAAGTTTCCTTTATACAAAAAGTTTCCACTGCAACTCATATGATTAAAAGCAAATAATCACAGGTGGAATATATTTTTTTCAAAAACTTTCAAAGGTCATAAGTAATACAGTACAGTTTATACCCTTCTGTGATTTTCAGAAGAGCAGAAGATTCAAAAGCATCATACAGCACAGTCAATAAATGGACAGTCAACTGAATGAACATGGTATTTTGTATTCATAAGAACTGAAGAATTCTCATTACTTTAAATTTTATTTCCATTTCAGCTCTTTAAAATTCTTATGTCACATTTGCAAAAGAAATAACCAGGCAATAATTAAAATTAAACTAAAAACTCTTTTATTTTGAATAATCTCAGGTCATTTCCCTTAAGAGGCAGACACCAATAAGCAATAATACGGCCTTTAAAGCAGAGAGCACAGAGCTGATTTCTCAGACCTCCTAGGCAAAAATTATGTCTCTAAGTTCACATGGTTACAAAATAGATGGACTCTCTTTTGAGAAATATATTTATGGCACGTAATTCGTTGCTAAATTGACTTATTCAAACAATTACAGTGTGTGTAGCTACCTCTCCAATTAACGTTCATATCTGGCTAAGGTAATCAGTTGTTGTATTTGTGAGCATGCAATTACAATCTGCCTAATAATTATACATTTTTAAATCATACTTTTCACACACTAGCTGGCTCATTCGTTATATGGACAGGGTGTTACGCCATGAAAGAATTCATTCAGTAGAGCTCAATGACTTGTGTCTTTATTTCTTTGAGTACACTGCCCAAGTGTTTGCTTTTTGCACACTTCTGCTCCCAACTGCGGGATCTGGACTTAGCCCCTTTTAACATGTCTTTGTCAGAAAGTCGATGAATACCTAATCTTCAAACCCAGCATAAAAACCTCTTGTGGTCCACATCGTTGTCCTGAAAACTCCTAGCAGCATGTACCTGAAGAAAAAGCTGGCAGCAGCAGCCTTCATGTGTTAATTACACATGCGAAGCCCATTATGCAGAGAAAGGGCACCTGCTGGCAGTGCAAATGACTAGAATCTGCCCTTCCTGTGCAGTGAGTAAATTGAAGGTTCATTTCTACAGGAGGTAATAGTTTTTAGGTTCCGTTCCGTGTATCCTCAACGTAGGCACATACTTAACATTTAAATCATCTGCAGAGGAACAAGCTTCCTTTAAATCTGCATGTTTCAGTTCCTAGCACGTCACTTAAAAATGCTAGTTATCCCGGCTGGTTCCTTACTCTTGCTTAAATGAAGAGAAAACGTCACACAGAACACTATCTCTCTTAAAAAAAAAAAAAAAACCAAAACCCAAAAAACAGCCATCCTCCACGCTAAGAGCCACACTTAAAATATGGTATCGTATGACACAGGAAGTTTAAGTTTGTTTTTTTCTGAGAAGGACTTTTTAAAATGCTAGGGGGCAGAGGGAGGCTGTTTCTATGTTTTCAAATCATTCCCAAAAGTGCATTAAGCACCACACTCCCACAAACATTTCTGCTGCACAGGGAGGCCTGGAAGGCCAGCCAGTAGACCTTGCCAGTAAAGACAAAGGCATTGAGTCCCTCAGCTTTTTCTGTGTCCTTCATCACTTGACTACATGACCACGCAGCAGCAGGTCCACATTTTCCTTGTGATTTCCTTTTACTTCCAAGCCTGTAGAAGCCTCTCATAACCCTTTACATCCCTCAGTTTAACTCCAGCCAAGCTTTGGCCTTACTAATTCCATCCCTGCATGCCCAGGCAACAACTCCATTAATTCTCTAACAGGGCTTGAAAGTATAACTTCTCTAGGAAGCTTAAGGTAAAGCCACTCTTTCTGGGCAAACTTCATCTCCCTGCTACGTACACAGAGGGAAGAAAAAAAAAAGGGGGGGAAGTCACACAAACTGAGCATGGGAAGCAGCAACTAACAGCTGAGCAACTAAAAGCAGCAGCATCTTAAACTTCCTCTTTGTTAATTACTCAGAGTGCTCGTCCACCATTCCTGTGCACAGCAAATGGGAGAGATGATGTTACAGCTGGTTAGGCTAAACCGTTTGGCTTTGCACTAGAAAAGAAAGTAAAAACTGAGAGACTGTTTGAGGGGCACTGTAGGCAGGCTTCTGAACCATTAATCACAGAGTCGAAGACATACGCCTAATGACACGCTAATCTGGAGACCACAACAGTGAATAAGGAGGCTTCTTAGGCCACCTGGACAGCGTGGAATCATCAAATAGGTTGGAAGGAACCTCAGGAGGGCAACTGGTCCAAGCTCCTGGTCAAAACAGGGCCAGCTTTGACATTATAGGAGGTTGCTCATGGGCTGTGCCAAAATTTTTCACATCATGATAATGAATAAGTTTTTGAAAGGTTTATATCCGTTCTCCTAAATTAGGTAAATATCACGTTCTAAACACACGCTGATAATAAAAGATGACCGCAGCAAAATGAATAGCTTTTGCCCACCTCCAATGGAAGTTCAGGAAAGCAGGAAAATGAGAGTATCTTCTCCACTGTATCTTCTACTGTTGGAGTCTTAATTCAAATTTTAACATTTAACACAGATATGCTGAAAACAGATTTTAATTACACAATATCTAAGTTGCAGCATTCCATAGTAACCACTCATATTGAAGTATTTCAACATACTGATAGACAATTATATCTTGCCATGAAAATAATTTTTTTTACTTACTAGGTTGATTGCTTCCTTAATATGCCTATATATTTTTAGAGTAACAGTTGCATCATAAGAGGACTTAAGACTTACTATACAGAAATGTGAAAAATGTTGTGAATCTAAGTGATATATATACATATATATAATATATATACACACACACATATATAGCCTTACCAACAGTAGTCCAATAGATGTGGGGGCAGAACAGGAATGTAAACATGCTGCCAGAACATCGGGTAGAGCATAGCTGCAGACCCATGAATGCAGGCAGTTAACTGAAAAACACATATTAAAACAGGATCATAAATAAGACAAAAACCAAGCTTAAAAAGGCAAGGTTAGAAGAAAAAAAAAGTAAAGAATCAATTCTGCTTTCATATCAACATGCTTTATTACAAAATATACAGTGCTCTTTTTTAAAAAAGGGGTATTGGTGGGTGAAGCATGACTGCTTTATGGTGGTTGTCATTCGACTGACTTTGTAAACAGCTGAGAACATGATTCATACAACAAACAAAACCTGAAAAGAACACCCAGTGTTCTATAAAGCAACAGAAACATGGAAATGAAAACACAAAGGGAACTAAAAAATAGTAAAGGCAAATCCCCCAACCCTGGTAATTACCATCCATGAAATATCATAAAACTGCATTGAAATTATAACACAAACTGAAAAAACATTTGAGCTCAGGAAGATACAATGTGAGTGGCATACGTTTGTTAAGAACATATCATACTAAACTCAGTGATTAAATTTTTATTATTTAAAAGGGATTTTTATCTAATTGCCCTTTACCAAATCACTTGATCCATTGACTTTCTCAGTTATATTTTTAAAAACTCATTCAGAATAGTTTTGATGTTGGCAGGTACTGAATGAAAAAGATCACAAATAGCAAACACAAGTGCCAGTCAAGCTGTGGGGAGAATCCTCACAGAGCTTTGGAGGAAATTACGTCTCTCAATCCTATTTCAAACGATAATTAACAGTTTGGAAAAGAAGATAAGCAGGATATTTGTCACATTCACTAAGGATATTAAAATGGAGAAGGTGGTAATCCTCAATAAGGAAATCTCAGCAAAAGCTATAGTCAAAATACCCTAAGAAGACGGTATGAACACACACATATACTTGGGAAAAGAGAAAATGAATAAATAAATCAGAACACTCATACAAATAGACACATACATGGAAAAGACTAAGAGATGACAGGCAATCACATCCACCCTGACAGTGTTTTGCGGTTTAGAGTATCTTTTAATCTCAAATGATACCCAGCGCAAGTACTACAATGTGTTTCACTTGTGAGATGTATTTTGAAAACAATACTCAACAAAAGTCTACCAGTTATTTGAAGGTATGATGAAATCAAGCATGTAATGCTTGTCTGGACAATAGGAAGGAGGGAGAACACTGCTTCGAAATACCGAAAAGACAAATTCTAAAGGACTGAGGTCCTTGTGGTGGCCTAAAGTTGTGTGAGATGAAACTAAGCAAAGACAAATCGTGACGTTAATCCTAATACAGTTAGATGTGGTGTAACCTTAAAAAGAAAAAGTAGATTTTATAAATTATTATAAATTTCATTTTATAAATTTCCATTATTATAAATTTCCATTAAAGACAGACTACTGAATTATATACCACTTCATAGGGAACCCACGTCTGGTAAAGAAAATGGTCTAGATGAGCTAATACAGTCTCTTAAGGCTCCATGTCAGGGAAAATCCGCTACAACTCTGGATGTAGTTTGGCTTATGTTCAATGCCAAAGCCTTTATGTAATTCCAATACAATTTCTGTAAATAACAGAACCTGGTTTTCTGATTAAGATGCAGGTCATTAAGCAAGAAGATTGAAGACAAGCACATATTTTACGTGTTATTTTTAAGCCTCTGAACAATACAGATCTGGGTAAGCAATAAGAATGCACCAAGAAACATGGATTTTTGGGGAGAATTACTGTGGTTCTCTGCAGTGTGATAAGAACCATGGTGAGGTATCAGCTTCACAAGCAGGTGTTTTTCAAAAGCAGAAAAGTGACTATAAAAATGAACTGAAATATACTTTGCAATTTACAGCTCAAAATAGCCACAGATTTTTTTCAAAATCATTCAGAACCTAAGACCCAGTATGCCAAGTATAAACCCATACAGCACTTTAATGATAAAAATTTCAGACATAAAACCCCTCAATTTGAAAAGCCAGAATTTTAAGCTATACCTTGTACCTAGCTGAGAGATATTTTATTGTGGCTAACATATACGATTAATCTGTCTGTTTAATAATGTTTTTGAGTTCCAATCATCCCCATCACCTAATCAAGGATAACCTGAGAAAAAGAATGGCCTACTAAGCCAGATCAAAAATCCCTTGTCTCCCAGTATTCTGTCCAACAGTGGTCAACACACATTACTAAAACCACTGATCAACACATTCGTCAATAAAATTGGTATTTTCCATTTTCTCCGTCCCCACCAGCTTGCAGCTCACACCTCATGTGCCAATTAATTCAAATAAACACATTGAAAAGTGCTGCCCTGTCTCTTCGTTTCAAGCCTATTCCCTCACACTTTAATGGGTGCTCTGAGTTTTGAGCATTTTGAGACAATAAATAAAAAAATAAAATCTCCTACTTATGTTCTAAGGGCCACACATGATCTTCCAAATTTCTATCAAGTTCACTGCCTCTTTAGTATCTTTACCAGGCTGAATGAAGAGGTCTAGTCTACTCTGCTCTCCCTAACTGAGAGATCATTTTGTATATTTGCTTGTTCTTGTTACCCTTCTCTGTACTTTTCACTGTTTTACTTTAAAATTTTTTATTTGGAGTAGATAAGAACTCATGCAACATTCACAATGTGGGCAAGCCATGAACATTATGTGGCATTATGCCCTCTTTTTTGTTCTCTACTCCCTTCATAATAATTTCTTGGCTTCTAAGCCTTCAACTGAGTAATAAGCTGGCATTTTCGTAGATCGATATCACTCTTTTTAAAAAAAACTCTAGTATCTCTTTATGAGTGGTAATAATTACTTCAGTTAGTCAGACCATGATTGCTTACATGGTTAGAAGTGTTTTCTCCCATAAGCATTATTTTATATTTATCCATGCTATGCAACAAAATGACTGCCACAACATTTTCTCCCCTTTCAGAAAACTGTTTTTCATGAGGATATTGAACAAATTCCAGAATAGAGCACTGTTGGACTGCTTAGCAACTTCCAGGACTAGGAAAACTGATAATTTTCCTCACCCTTTTTCCCCTCAACCTTTTAGCCAGTTGTTTACCCTCAAGAGGATCAAACTGTCCTATGCTACAAAAATTTATTTAATAGCTTTGAAGAATCCAACACTGTTCAATCTTACCTAGATTTTTAAAGCTTTTTAAGATTTGGAGGCATGGATTTCTTTTGCAAAGGTCGTATTTACTCTTCCCATGAAAGCTACACAGTCACTCCTCACCTTAGCACTGCTTGATTTTGCGGTGTCATAACAAGAGAGTCCACAAAGCTCAAAAGTAGCCCAGTGCTGATAATGTGTTTCCATAAGTGAGAATATGCAAGAATTTAAACTAGATTTGAACCAGCATCCTAAGGAAATAGCGTCTTTGGAAGCAGACAGGGTACAGCAAGTATTTTCAGTCTTTCTCAATAAGAAAGCGCTTTATTAGCAGGTGAACATTATTTTATGGTCCATATGGGATGGAAATATTAGTATGTTAGGATACTAATTAAAGCAAAAGTTAGAAGCTACAAAATCTTGAGTTTATTCTGTATTTATGACTCATGAAACACTAAAGATTTATCCCTATCCCATTATATTTCAACTTATCTTTATATTATTCCTACTGGAGAAGATGGTCCTCTCTCACAGATTAGACAAAAGGCATAGCCTAGTTCCAAAATATTCAGCAGAAAAAAAAAGCATGCTTTCCCAATGTAATTTCCCAATGTATAGAGATATTCCCAAATCCTTTATGTTTTCGGTTTCTGTTCTCCAAATCAAAAAGATGTCTGGAAAAAATACTGTTTAAAAATTTAATTCTTACTTAAAAATTGCTTCCATGAGGAGCGAATGGATTATTTCCTGGCATTATTATATAACATGGTTGCCGCTGTAGAGGAGTGAACTCAGTAATCCAAGGAGGCCCCTTCCAAGCCCCCCTCCTATTGGTTTTAAAACTCAGCAAGAAAAGATTAAACAGACATAATGCTCAACACTGCAGACATCTGAGCAGAACCTGTCACTTATTTTTGAGATGTACTCGCACCTTGCCATCTGGCATGAATTCAAATAATGTACTACCATGAGTAAGCACCGGTACTGTCCTTCAACTCTGCCAAGATAAGGGCTCATAAAAAAGAAATAGTATATTTGCTGGAGACCTCACCTGATTAGTGATTGCCATACAGAAAACAAGCACTTAATAATAAGGCAGCCTAAGAAATGCCCAACTGTCAAAACTATAGGAATCCAGCATTTTGAAATAAGATTAGTTCCACTACCTCAGCTTCCTGCAGCTGTTGCTAGCAAATAGAAAAAGATAGCTATGTAAGAAAGACACTCATTCACTAATTCACTTTTTGCAGTTTTATAGTTAATACTCTAAAAGCCTTATTTGAGCAAATCAATGGGATTGTCATATATATAAAAACCATAAACTGACGTTTAATTACAATAGGCCATTTTCCAGTGCATTTTACTCTCTCTCTCCTGATGCATATACACTGCACAGTTTTACAGATGCAGTACATGGCTACAAATGTGCAACATATACTGGAAAAAATGACCACCTTTTAAGTGTTTGTAAGATCATTTTTCTGCATTACTCAGGGCTGAAAATAAAGTAGAAAGCTTAACACTGAGCTATATAAGAATTGAGCAGAGAAAGCAGGGCTGTTGCAAAGGATGTGTATGAAGGTCAAGACCTATACTGGCAGGCTATAAGGATGGCAATAGAGCTCTTGGGAAGGAAGAGCTTGTACATTTAAAACAGTAGTTGTAAGACTGCTGTAGAACAAGAACTGTGCAAGCTCTTAGCTATGTTGCATCACAAGGACATTTGGTGAATGGTATTAATCATATGTTGTCTTTTCCTAAGGACCACCATTTCCTTATCCTCAGAGCCCTGAGGCATGTCAGAAACCAACCAGGGAATAAGGGGTTGTGTATCGGAGCTTTCCATGACATGGAAGAAGTGACACGGCAAGCTCTCAACTCCCAGGAACAAAAGAGTATCCATGTCAGAATGGTATTTTTTGCTTTGTACTAAGACTGTAATAACAGAAAAATTATGTAAAGAAATTCACCTCAGTATGATGGAGCCAAATAGAAACATCACAGAAATTCACAAGTTTACATCTTTGAAGACTCATCAGGCTTCACATAAGCCACCTTTCTAAAATGAGAGACAAGCTGCTGCTGCCCTTATCACAAGTAGTTAACATACCTTGTTGAGGCAGGGCTGCATGGGCAAGTTATGATGGAACAGAGAATACTGTATGCAAGGAACGCTCTTCTGTTTCATTTTTGCAACAGCATGCTCCCACCACCAGGTGGTCTTTTGCCAAGCACAGTTTTTAATGTGTTTTGGTTCGTATTTGGCTCTTCACGAGTAGTTAGATCAAAGAATACGTAAAGAAATTTAATATGAATAATTGCTTTAATATTTTGAGAAATTATTTGAGTTTCCTTTTGTAGGAAGAAAAAAATCCAAGAAAACAGCAATAAATCTTCCATAGGTTCAGTACACGTGGTTTATAAAACAACTAATAAACACAGCCTCATTCAGTTACCTCTAAATCTTATTCAACTTAACTATATTAAGGATATTTCAAATCAAAATTTGAATTTGATATGATGTATGATAACACAGAATTCATTCCACCAAAAAAGACTTTCTATCCAGAACTGTTTAATTTTCTCTCTCTTACCTGATATTAAATTTAAGCCTTAAGTATGAAGCATGCCATGTCTCTCAAAGTTAACAGAAATTAACTGCAAATAGGTCCCTTCCACTTTTTTGTTAAAAAACTAAAAAATAAAAACAAAGAAACCAATCGCTCTCACCACCACACCACCCTCACTTTACTTTGAGAATTCTCAGTTTGGTACGTTTCCAGTTACAAGGTCTTGGCTTCCACTGAGCACAGTTTGAAATAAAATAATGCAGCTTGTTCCTACTGCTGGAACATGCAGAGCAGAGCGTGCAGGCAAGGAATCACTGGCTCTGGCCCAACACTTCAAACCTGTCTTACACTGTCACTCCAATCTTGGAGCAGTTGATATATAAAGTTGTAAGATAAGAACACACAGTATGAATACCCCTCCCTCACGAAGAACCAGACATGCTTTTATCCTGGACAGAGGCAAAAGGAAGAGAAATAGCAGAAAGATAGGAAAGAAAACACAACCCTACTTGTGAAATGGCTCATTAAGGAAGGCAAAGTGACAGGTAAGTAATTCTTCTTCCCAGGCTCTGTCACAAAGGGAGAGATTAAACCAACCAACCACACAAATTTTGAAATGCTTTGGGTAGCCGTTCTCTTCTTTCCTCCTCTCTGATAATTTACTATTCTTTTCATGCTTTAGGTTTCTGAAATAAACACCTCTCTTCTTCATTTTATTCAATTACCAGGACTGGACATATTTTTGCTTATTTTAGTAGGGAGGACACAGAACACTTGGCAGATATAAAAGTTAAGATTTTGCAAGTTTTCTATGATATTAAACTTTATAATACTGAAATTCTTTCAGTTAAATGTGGGATTGATTGTAAACATTTAATAATTATTAATAGGTCCCAGAGATTATTCTAGCTCTCCTAGTTTCACTTACCTTTCAAAATGATATTGTAATAGCTATTCTGAGATTAAGTATGAAGTCTTACTCTCTTTCATTTTTCTGCCCTGTATTGACAGACCATTCTTACATGATTTTATGTACATAGTTTCAGCCTTCTGTAGTATTTACCATTCCATGAAGCAGTTTTAATCTCAAACACAAAGTAGGACATGGTCATACAGTAAGAGACTAGTTAATACCATACAAAATGGAAGTGGAAGCTTGTATGTTAGAAAGGATTGCTCAAGTACTTAGCCCATAGCACTAGAAAGCAAAATTAGTTAAACCATCTTATGCTCATCATTCATAAAGGAAAGCAATCAATACCCATTTACAGAGCAAACAGAATGAAGACTTAACATTTTCTTTTATAAAGAAAATCACAATCTTATTGACTGATAAACCTTGAAATGCATAACACAAAACTTTGAACTAAATCAAGCTGTGTGCTTGTTTTGATGTCCTGCCATTTTTAGAAGAGAGTACTCTAGAGTATTCAGTAGCTTTCATCTCTCAGACTCTTGATGGAGCCTAAGTAGCATTAAGACAACAAAACTGCAAAAATGTGGATTGTCAATGTATTTTAGCCCACTCCCTCAGTCCATCCAGAGGAGGTCACTGGAACATCCATTTGACAGTATCATTTATCTTTTTTTTCCCCTGTCAAGTAAATTATGTAAAAGGGACTTCACTACAGCATAAATGTTTGTACATTTATCTACCAAACGCCCCCAAGAATTCCTGTATCCATAAAACCCTTTTTCATTTGAACATTAGAGGCCAACAGAAGTTCAGTAAAATCATCACATAGAAGCACAGAATTGAGTTGAGGTTGCATAGCTGAGGTTAGAAGGGGGACCTAGAGATCATCAGCTAATTTCCTATATATGACTGTCATTTTTAAAAAAGTACTGTGAATAGAAGAAATTATTCTGCATTTTACTTACAGTGCTCAGCTTACTACAACAAATGAGGATGCGGCGTTCATAGAGCATACTGGCATAGAGATGCAGCATGTTGTTGACATCAACTGCTACAAAATACTCTGTCAGATTTCTCTGGAAAGAGAGAAAATAATTTTTGATTAATGATATTACAAAAACAAGTGTCCTTAACAACAAAAATAACCAGATTTCATCCTCCTATTACACTACATCCAGTACGTGGCTTAACGAAAGAAAGCAGGATGTCATATTACGTCAGAGTACTTTTTAACTGCAGTATCTTTCCCCTAACTTTTGGGGAGCTAGGTCTTGGAATAATAAAATTGATGTTTCACATGCAGCTTCTTAAATACAAGATACTTCTCTGAGGGGAAAAAAAAAGTTCTGTCACTCTTACAGAAACTTCAAAGCTGCCTGATAAAGTACCAAAAAAAAAAAAAAAAAAAAAACAAACCCAAAAAAAAAAAGTTTTTTTAGTGGACAATTCGAATATGACTCTTAGAGAAACGCAAAAGCACCCTGAAAAAAAAACAAAAAAAAAAAAAAAAAAAATAGCACAACCCAACAATAAAGTTTTTTTAGTGGACAATTCGAATATGACAATTTCAAATGTAAGTTCAGTCTATGCTAGAACAATTCTGATAATTAGAAATATACATGGGCATTTAACGTACAAGCTGAAAACAGTTACACAGCTGTCTGAACTCACTTCATGCACTCAGACACATTTGCCCTTGGTGGAAGACAGAAAGTACCTCCCTGGGGGGCTGGGGAAACTGAGGAAGGAGACAGAGAATTCTCTCTCTCTGAAAACTTCAGTGGATGCCCATCTCTGATGAAGAGGCAGGATTCAAACATCCAGTTTTACTTGAGTGATCAGTATGTTTATATAGTACAAAGAAAATTAATTGCAGTAGAATATTGTAAGCAAAGCACATTTGCAATCTGTCTTTAAAGCATAGATAGAAAGACCAAGACACAAGCAAGTAACACTGCCGAAACTTTACATACACACTTTCTAGGTAACACAGGTTTCTTTCTTGCTTTTGCTGCTCAGAACATTAAAAATAGCTATGTAAAAATTATTGTAAGTAACGGAAATTCAAAAAAGAAAACAGACTAAGCTGCACAAGAGGCTATGGCCACTTCATCCCCCACACCATCCCATCAGCCAGCAACATTATCCATTCATCATTACCAATGTACTTGCCCTGTGCACATGCTGTAGTGGCATGAATCATGCATCATTTACTAAATAATTAAGATGTCTTCTAATAAACAGCAGAATGTGATCCTGAGATCTCTACTATCAAAACTAGAAAGCCACCATGTAGGTGACTTGATCAAAATGTATTATGTTATGAAGGGCTTTTACAGTGCAAGGCAAACAAAAAAGGATTTTTGTTTGCAGAGGATATTTTCACTTCTTAAAACACAAAAATTTTTAAAAAGGGGGGGTGGGGTGGGGTGGAAGAAAAGGTAATACACCCAGAAATGCTGAATTAGGGAATTTGTTTCCAAATGGCTTCTTACAGATATGAAAGGGTCGCTATATGATAAAGACAGTCTTATACAAAACACATGTGAGAGCAAAATTAGATTAGTCATGAATTCAAGTGCAATCTTAATCATCGTTAAACAAAAAAGTGCAGAGAAGCAAAAAGCAAATATGATTTAGAAACTTAAAGAAGCTCAACAAAGCCTATTAGCACTTTTGACAGATCCAAAGATAACTCTAAAACCACCAATACTTGGCCTGAGAAGTCTGCCAAGATGCTTCATACTGTGCAAAAATATGTTCCACAGCTTGCCATCCAAACACAAAGAACTAAAGAAAAATTAAGCATTGTATTTGGAAGACTTTTGTACCAGTATCTAGATAGATACAAACTACGCTCATTATGGTTAACTTCAAGCATGTTAATATAAAACAATCATTCAGGTCTTTGTTACAGAAAAGCTATAGCCACAGACAGGTATATTCAAAGAAGAAGGAAAAAAAAAGCCAACACGTTTTGCCAAAAACCTATTAAACTATCATGTACTTTTTCTATATTTCTCATCCCATCTGTGCTGATTAGCATGATATTTTTGTCTAAACATAAGCTGTCTTCTCTACGGCTCTTCTTCCCCCTCTCACCCATCTTTCCACGACGCCAAAACACAGTGCATGACGACACAATTACTGCAAATAGTGTGAATTAAAAGAATTTTTAAGTAGCACTGAACTCCCTTTGATGCCACCCAAATTAGGGGCATGGCAAAAGGAGCCCATAATCCCCACGTTCTGCCTGAAGATGTAGATATGCGTGTGCATGGATGTGTTTATAAGGCAACAGTATCCACTACTGAGAGGAAAATACACGGGGACTTGATTTGCAATTACTCTTTCAACAAGTTTATTGTAGCGAAATACTGGCTTTGACACACAAATGTACCTTCAGATGGAAAGACTTATAAGGTTTTAGTCTTCTCTGCTCTCAGAAATTTGCCAATGACACCTGCGAAGCATGTGGGCTGTATGGTAATGTATTGATACTAAGGAAATTCACGTGTTAGCTCTAAGTTTTATTTATAAGAAAGCTGTCATCTTTGAAGATGAAATTGGGACTTACACATGTATTTTGAAAGACATGTCTCGTAAGTGACAAAACCATGAATGAGTTAAATAAATACAAATGAAAGCGTTCCAATTTGCAGTATAATTGTTGTGTATTTTGTTCCCTAGGATTTAAACCTTTCTTGGGAGAGTAAAAAGTGGGATTTTCAAAATAAAATATGGGACCAGGTATCCCCACTCCTCTCAAAACTCGGTAAGAGTGCTACAAAATTCCCTTATGCTCCCTCGAAGGTTCATTCCTAGATCAATCATCTATTTGATCATTTGCTATCTAATATCAGCAAATGCACATGCACACTAACTTTTGAGAGAAAAAAAAAAATTCATGTACTTCTCTTCCTCCATCATCTAACGAAGAATTTCTCACTGAAGGAACAAAGCAATGAGCTCTCTCCTCTGCAAAGAGTGAACCTCGGACATAGTAACATGGATTATAGTTCACTTATTTTAGTCTGCTCTTGAACGGCTTCATTTACAAGACTTCAGTGAATTTCCTGTTATGTCAATAGAATTGAGTCAGGTTTCGTTCTCCATCCTCCCACTGGAAACCCCTCATCTTATTTAGAAGTTTGTTTTCTTTGAAATATCACACATTACCTAACCCATGTTAGATTCTGAATCTGGTATGCAGCTAACACTCTTTTATAATGCCATGCTGTTGTTTGGGAGAACAAAATAATGAAGACAATACACTTTATCAAATGGTGTAAATATAGAAAAAAAAATGGGGGGGGTGGATCTTAAGAAAAACAGGGAGCAAAAGACATATGTTATAATGAGTGAAAAATCAGGCATTTGAAATACAGGACTGAATGATACAAAGATACACCAGAACATCACCACCAAGAAAATGTCATCATTACAGACTGCTAACTTACCTGATATTTCTGAAACACAACAGACACTACTAGGAAATTTACAGTCTTGCACTGTATTTCCTGCAATGAACCCAATTATTTCTGAAGTCACAATGCATTTACAAAAGTTTCGTATAACTTAAATCTTTTGGAAAAGTGAATGCTTAGCTGGTACATAAAAGTGTCCATGCTAAATGTTTTCGTGGCTCATTAAACATATTGATCTGACACAAAGTCAGATAATTCCAAGAAGTTTGTTAACGTTCCAAATAGAGTTCTATGCAGCTCTCCATTAATCATTACATACAACTTCAAAGTTTGGCACTACTAAAACTTTTGCTAATATGGGTTTTAAAGTGTGATTACTGATAAGGTATGTAGAATTTTTAATAAATCAGGCCAATTGATTAAAATCCTTGAAGATTTATGCTCAATTAATGTCCTTGTCTTATTCCCTAATATGCTCCAATTCTACATGAAAGTTGCATTAACAGACAGATAAAATCCTCATAAGAAATTATAAGATACCCACTCGAAAAAAATAAACAAAAGAAATGCCTGAGAAATAGAAGGCAGTCAACTGCAACAACAGACCAATGGATTTGATTTTTAATATTTTTCTTTCTTACAATGAGCCCTAGCTTTTTAAATTGTGTGTGTGTATATATGGGCATACATATTTGTTAACTGAATGAAATGTTCTTCTACTCCTATTCCCAGAGGTGCCCTGGTTCACCCCAGACACTGGGAAGAGTCCATCCTTCACAGTGACATCACTGCACAGGATACCTACATCGAAACAGTCACATTCCCTCTGAGGCACATCAGCACCACTCAATGATTCAAAGAGGATGCTTTTTAGCATCACATGGCACTCCCTCCCATGAAGGCTGAGCGTTCAGCTTTCAAAGGGTTTCCAACTCTTCCTGGCCCAAGGCCTCTGCTTTTATAACAGCCTTTGATTCATGAGCATTCATCATGCCTCCCGCTCAAATGTTTTGGGAAGCTGACTCATACCTTTGAATATAAAGCGAACATCACCAGCAGACATAACCAACAGAGCATAAATACAGCTATACTTCCCGAAGCCTTTACTATGTAGTGTGTTATTAAGCTGTTCCATATCAGTTAAAACAGGCCCAAGGCAGATGATCTACTTTTAATCCCTGCCACTGGTTTCTTCCCATTACTAGCTCACTTCTCTCTGCCCTCTAATTTGCCAGCCTGGAAAATGGAAATAAAATTCCTTCCCTGCTCTCCAGGTGATTTGAGGCTTATCAAACAAAAATTGTTAAAGTTTGCGATGATTAGCATAAAAGAGATTAACATAAAATATAACCCCTATAAACAAGTAACTTCATGTCTGGATTAGGACAGAACACATTCCATATTGATAGCTAGTTTAGATTCAGGAACTGACTCTTGAATTACTCCTAATGTATCATTCTACAAAAATAAAGCACCTTAGAGGAAAAAGCACATCTATTAAATTTACTGACAGGATACGTGTCAGTATGAGAAGTCTACAACACAGAAAAGCTAGCAACTATGTTTTTAAACAGAAACAAAAAGCCCCAAATGTTATCTGCTATACAAATCATCCACAAACGAGATTAAATGTCTTGTTGATTCCCTTTTCTTTCTTTCTTTCATGCCATAAATTGAGGTATATGGTGCTAAGGCAGACCGCAAAATGTTCAAGAAAGAAAACTGAGATGTCAGGCATAGAAATTTGGCTAAGAGACATAGCAGGAACATATTAAAGAGTATTTAAGAGAAGCAAATGCCAGCATTGTCTTCCCACAGACCTATCATCTGGCTAGAAATCTGAGGCATGCTGAAACACATACAAGACAACTTCATGAGGCTTAAAAAGTCTCTGAAAAAGTGGCCCTAAAGAAACCAGCTACGCTTGACATTTTCAGAAGGCCGTCCAACAAATGGATCATTTTTACTGGTCTCTTATGTCATTCTTTCAGAAGGATCTTACTGTACGATTAGCAGATCTGCTTTTTTCTAGCCATATCAGTCTGTCCATTAGTACTTTATCCTTAATACACTTCAGCTTTTAATCACAAATGCAGATTGTCAACTCTTGAATGCTATTGTGTAAATACGATACAGAAGGAAGATGTTATCACAAAGAAAAGAATGACCACCTGAGCAACTACAGCTAATAATAAACCTTTAAAGCAAAGAGCCTGGATGTTCATCTGAATCAATACAAAATGTTTTAAATAAGGATATATGATATCTGAATTCTGACAGCATCTTAAAGAACAAGGCAAGTTAATACCAAAGTGGTATTTGATCTTTCTTAATACTAGTGATACAGATGTTTGAAACATTGAACTCTGTCACTGAGGATACTGAGTATCATGATTATATCCTTGGCTTGACTAATAAGTAGCCATAACACTTTAATAAATAAAAGTGTTATGTAATAAAAATAAATAAATAAAAGCTGGTTGACAGCCAGCTGAACATGAGCCGGCAGTGTGCCCAGGTGGCCAAGAAGGCCAATGGCATCCTGGCCTGTATCAGAAATAGCATGGCCAGCCGGAGTAGGGAAGCAATCGTGCCCCTGTACTCGGCACTGGTGAGACCGCACCTCGAATACTGTGTTCAGTTTTGGGCCCCTCACTACAAGAAGGACGTCGAGGTGCTGGAGCGTGTCCAGAGAAGGGCAACGAAGCTGGTGAGGGGCCTGGAGAACAATTCTGATGAGGAGCGGCTGAGGGAGCTGGGGTTGTTTAGTCTGGAGAAAAGGAGGCTCAGGGGAGACCTTATCGCGCCCTACAACTACCTGAAAGGAGGTTGTAGCGAGGTGGGGGTCGGTCTCTTCTCCCAAGTAACTGGCAATAGGACAAGAGGAAATGGCCTCAAGTTGCACCAGGGGAGGTTTAGATTGGACATGAGGAAAAATTTCTTTACTGAAAGAGTGGTTAAACATTGGACCAGGCTGCCCAGGGAAGTGGTTGAGTCACCATCCCTGGAAGTATTTAAAAGACGGGTAGATGAAGCGCTTAGGGACATGGTTTAGTGGGCATGGTGGTGTTGGGTTGATGGTTGGACTTGATGATCTTAGAGGTCTCTTCCAACCTTAATGATTCTATGATTCTATGAAAAACAACATATTGTATTGAAACATTTTTTCAGATGAAATTAATTTCAAACCAGTATGTTATCTCTCCAGCAGGTCCCAACAATTACTTCCCAAATTTAGTTTTTAGTCTCAGTTTCATGTTGTACTCTAAGTCCATACCTCAAGAAAACCAACATAACTATGTAAACAGTGTGAGGTCAGCAAGGGGAGAATAAAACATCAATCTGGATGCAGAAGAAAGAAAACTGCTTCTTTAGTAGTGAAATTATTAAGTTTCTTTTCAAACAGCAGATCTTTGGAACTTATGAGAAGAGAACAGACTCTGATTCAAGTTAGCTAATAAAGGTAAAATACCTCAAGGGATTCTTGTCTTCTTTTTGATATAAATTAAAGCATTGGTAAAATGGATGAAATTCCTTTCTATTGTAATCCTGCATTTTTAGGTAATGGATGACTCTTGTAGTACTCACTCAAATGGCAATCACAAAACTGCCTTGAGATTACTTTCAAGAATTTTTCATAGGCTTATTGTAGTGAGTGAATTTTCACACAAATAAACTCCATCATTGTTCTCCGAAACGCCACCATACTGTTACATACAGTTACCAAACTACTGTTCTTTCCCAATTTTGAGTAGGCTAAAACTATAGATGTGTATTTTAAATTTCCTCACTTATTAGAACCAAGAAATCATGGAATGTTAACAGTAAGTAATAATAGATTGGTGATAATAATAAAAGCTTTATAGTTTTTAAATAAATATCTTGACTTACAGCTTAAGATAATTATGCTGTCAATTTCCTGTTCATTTGGTATCTTTTCTTAATTAAAATGGCAAACGTTGAATTCTACTGTTATGTTGTATTTCAAAAGGCCTCATGTACTTTTGCAGTTAGCAACGCAATGTTTTCTGCCCAATACTTATTATAAATTAACCATCTAAAGTTTATTTCAACATCTAGCAATATTTTACAGAATATAATCTATTACTATGCCAAACAGAGGTAACAATTGTTATCTGTTTTGCTGCTGACATTAAACAGAAATGGTAAAGTGCACGGTCCTCTAGAGTACTCACATTTTCAGGTATACTAGGAAGCTCTCTGATGTCAGGCACAGTAAAGTACGAGTGCTAAAAAAGAGCAAATATTGATTATTGCAATATTGTCAAAAGCAATCTAAATTTATTGCTTGGTATTAGTAACAGCAGTAATAGCAGTTGCTCAGCTAAGTAAAAATGACAGAACATTTGTTACCAACTACCAGTATGATTTCTTTGTCATGGATTTCAACAGCTGGATTCTCAGATCACACATGCAATATGAAATGCATTAAGATAGAAAGTATCAAATGCTCCTGAAAAGTTATATTACATTTTTTTGTTCTTCAGAGACGCTGATACAGACAGACTCACACAATGTATGACATATGCCAAGGAAACTCCAAGGCAGCCTATAATTCAAGCCATCTTTCCACAGCCCGCTGCAGGTTGCATGACAGACTACAGGAAACAACAGCAAGCAGGTCTTTTTCTGACTTACAGCATCAGTAAGTTTCATTCAAGACAATGGTGAAGTTACAAAAATTTACTGAGAAATGCTTCCTAAAGTTTTATGCCTACTTACCTGAAAAATATTACTAAAGTTCTAGGTCACTTTTATACGCCTTAAAAAACACATTTTGAAAGACTATATTGGTCTCACAATTCCATAATCCATTGTATTGTTACATTTTTTTAATTGTCTGCATTCCAAGAGACCAGGTTCACTCTAGTTCCCAGTCTGACTGTGCATGACTTGCACAATTCTTGGTTAGGGCTTTGGGAAAGGAGAGGAGAGAATGCAACTAAACTGCTTTTGTAAATCAATGTGGTATACAATTTATATTATTTTTAAGATATTCACCATTTGTCTTAGGGTTACTTATTAATTACTTGCTGAAGCTTTAAAGGCTGTTATATTCTTGGCATAGTTCCACAATCAGCACAATTTTCTTGTATATGTATCTCAGACATTTCAGTGCTTCATGAACAGTCTATAACCCGAAATAGCAAGCGGGTATAACAGCTACACTGAATATAGACACTAAATGTATTAACACAAATTTTTGCTTTTTGATATATCACTGTTTTAGTTTGGTCGAAAAGATGCAATGCAAAGATACAGGAATAGTATATGCAACTGTATCACATATAGGAACCTCACCCCAACCCCAAAACAGGCTTGTAAATAGCCAAAATAAAATGCGTAAAGACACCACAGCTAACAGTCCCTTGGCTGCTTTTTTATATCCTTTCTTGCTTCATCGCCCGTGAAATGTCTGAGACAAGGGGGGACCGGCAGCATTCCTTGAAACCACTGGTGTGAAAAAACTGAAATATCCCAACTGATCATTGCCTTTTGAGACAGCTCGTCCCGTTAAACAGAAATGCTGTTCAAAAAAGAGATAGCCTCAAGAGGACTGGGACATTTCTACTGCCAGCTGGTGACCTAGCAAGGCCAAACAACTGTTACCTGTCGACTGACATTACAGGGTGAAGTGATGAGAGTAAGCTGCTTGTTGCCAAAAAGGACTTTAGAAGAAGGAGTAAAGGAAATGAGAGGGAGAAGAGAACTGTGGCTGCACACACCACTAGTTTCCATGTGGACTCTAAATGACTAACTGGCAACACGCAGCAATGTGCATCTTAAGTATTTTTCCACTACAGCCTGGAACACAAGGTTGTTCTGCAAAAATTAATTTGAAGACAAAAACCCCAAAAGACTAAATTCAAAATAGAATCCCATCAATAAAACCCCACATCTATTCTTTCAGTGTTCTTTGGTTAATTTTCTCACAAGACCTAAAAAAGAAATAAATCCTTTTTTGTGCGAGTTTTTTTCTTGGGGGGAGGAAGAAGAGAAGGAATCAGAAAATGTGATAAACAGTTAATACTCAAAACGCTGCGATGACAGGTACGTGACTGTTTGCTGTCCAGTCTTGTCCCCCTTGCATACTTGCAAGACCTAGGAGTTCTGCAGAAGTGTGGGCAATAAACGTCATGTTGCTGCTCTGTGACCTCTCACAGGTCACAGACGATATGGTGAGAAATTTCCACAGGGAATATACACAACCTTCCTCCAATCAAAGAACAACATTTCAAAGACATTTGAGGTTAAGGAAAGGGAAACAGAGGGCCCCAAATGTGAAAAGGGGAATTTCACAGCTCTATGTCCTCAAAGGAAAACAACATCTGTGTACCAAGTTCCAAAAAGGGGAATTGCTTTTGACATTCCTCTATTATGATACGTAATGAAAATTAAACACCTTAGTTTACATCTCTCCTGCTTCACTTACCACTCCAAGATGAACAGAGGTTCCTGGCTCAGGGATGGCAAGTTTATAAAATGTTTCTAGGAGCTCACTCCTTTGACTATCCTGAAATAAGAAGGAGAATAAAAAAAAAAAAAAAAAAAAAAGAAATATTAAGTAGGCATTGCTATAACAAGCTAAACTCTAAGACGGAAGGGCAATGTTTGTGGAATTGCAAGTGTAAAGAAAAATGTGAAAATAGATTTATACATTAGACTATGAACAGAAATAAATGTAGTTTCCTCTAACAGCTGGGTTTTATAACATGATTTTTTAGAATACTTTTTTTTCATATGTATTTCTACATATTTCTGCAACCTACTGAGTCACCAACTTATGCACTACATAGTTACTCAGCTCAGAGCAAGCCAGTTTTCACTGCAAGTTCTTCAGAACAACTCATTAGCTTAGAGTAAAGCCAAATGTATTTAATCCATCTAGATGAAGATGTGATCCTAAGTGCTTCTACCTCAAACGCGAATGATTCTGACATGCAAAATACATTATTACCACAAAATGGTAATAAATCAAAGCAGTAACCTAACGGGGAAGATTATACTTGTAATATTTTAAATACTTGAAACTAGGCTAGGCGTTGCAATCATATATGTGATTTCTCTGTATCATGAATTATCATTTATAAACCTAGAAGCAAATTTTAATGGCTTAGTTCACATTTTTTCACTGTCTCAAGACTGAATTTTACTTTGTTTTGCTTTAAAAGCAAAACAGCATCTGAAGGGCTTAGGCTAGTTGATGCTATGTGGGTTAGCATTTTGCATCAGTAAGCTTAGTTCCACACTAACTTTACATGAGAAGTAAACTTGGATAAGACATCTGTCAAAGATTCATGAAACACTGCAATACGGGAATTGCATGGATGTGCTGAATACAGTTCAGGTAATCAAAAAGTCTACACAGTATGAATGATTGCAGGGAAACCATTAACTTGTGTTGGATCCACAGTCACATTCTTGGACTTTATCTTTTCCAAAAAATAATTTTAAAGTGTATTTATTTTTCCACAAGCACTTGCCAGGCATTCAGCTTGGCTGAATATCATCTTCTATATTACTGCATCATACAGATTAATAATTCACATGGTCATCTCTGATATAAGCACTTCTTAAAACAACTTGTTTTCATCCTCTCTCCCTCATTTAATGTCGGGGCAGGGAAAGAAGGGCTAGTACTTTAGAGTATTACCTGTCCTTTTGCTGAATAATCTGCCAAGACATTGAGCAGCTTATAAAAGACTTCAAACCATGGAAGGTAACTAAAAAAGAAAAAAAAGAAAGAAAAAGCATACATTTAACTTGCTAAATCTCAGGTAATTAATCCAAGATTGCTGGCCTTTACATTATATAGATGCATCCTAACAACAGCCTCCACTAGACATGACACTTTATAAATATCTGTTAGGAAAGCCACATGAGACCTTCCTTCCATTTGAAGAAGAACACTGCCAGAAGGTTGAAGCATCCCTTTCCTTTGAGGACTGAGCTTCAGTATTTACTCTTCCCCAGCCTTTCCAGCCACCTGTGGGCACTAAACATCAAATGTAGCACCAGCTGTGAACAAACTCAGGTATCAGGCAGGCCAGTGCTGGGAGCTCACCTTCCTTCTCACCCTGTACAGAACAAACGTACAATCCAATAGAAGTTTTTAATCTGTAAGATAAATGTACACTAAAGTATCTATGTTCACATATGGTGGAACATTTTTAATCATAATTATTTCCCAAAGTACATGTTAAATAACTAGTCTTCTGTACAGCTGCTGAGGGCCCTAGTAAACTGAAGACAGACAGTTGTTTTGGTTTTGAATCCTGATACAACTGGATTTTTTAAATTGCATAACCAGTATCTCATTTTCAACTGTTGTCAAATCTTATTCCACATCCTATATCATTGTATTCAGCCCGGCCCTTAGTTAAGTCAAATAGAAACTTTACCTTTAGTAAATTTGTACTCAACTTACAAAAGTAATAAAGAAACAAAATTAAAAGACAAGCATGCAGAGAAACCACACCTTTTTCATTTACATTACATTTCCATTCCATAAAATAAGACAGACAGCTAAGATGTTACTTTTCACTACAGAATGCTTTGGAATGATTTTGTGCCCTATTTTCATGACACAGTTCTTTATTTCAATTCCTTTTTAAATACCAGCAAGGAATTTCCCCTCAGCTGCAGCGAATAGGAAAGCAAGTTTGTGTGACGCACAAACTGCTTCTCTTAATCACAGATGCTTTCTGAAGCAAATGGATTCTATTTTGATATAGTTAGACAGGATTTAAAGTTTTTATAAAATATGACTACATCCTGACAACTATAAAGAATTGAGTGCCCCATGGTTCCTAACTGTACAGCTTTCGGTAATAAATGAAGTGAGAAGCTATATATGAGGCAGATAAAGTGAATGGCACTCCATCATTAACATTTGTTTGAAACCTGCAAATGCTACTGTAAAATGTAAGTAGCTTATCAAAATATACTGATAAGCAACTTAACTTTTCATGTTATATGACAGTATTATCATTTAAATTAATATGCTCTAAGCATCTTTACAAACTATGTATTAGAATAGAGCAGAAAGACAATTACCACTTTAAACAGCATTTAAGTTTGGCATTATATTGTAAACAATCAAGAAGGATTAGTTAGAAGATAAGTTTCTTTCTTTCTGTTTAGTTAAATAAACTTCAGCAGAGTTAAAAGCCATTACAAGAGTAACAAGAAATCCTCTCAAAACATATCTGCTAAGTAGAGATTAAGAACCTGGTAAACAAATCCTTGCAAGGCATCTATCAAAAGAGTTTAAAAAGACAGAAAACCAAGAAGGCAGAAAGCTCCCTGACAGTATGAAACCAAAACTTGTTTCAAGAAGGCATATTTAAAGTTCTACTTAATTGCTCAGAGACCTTGCTGGAAAACTACATTTACAGAATTAAAATGAGAATCTTTTAAAATATTATTGTGTTTATAATATGTGTGTCAGTATAAAAGCAATAAACAAAAGCAAGTTACCTCAGCTTCTAGTTTGCCAGAGCTGCACTTCATTTAGAGCCCCAAAGCCTGCGAGTGAGGACAGACCAGGTTCCCAGCACCGTTTGCAACAAGGGGTGCATGTACCCAACAGGGACAATGCTGAGCTCTGAAACCAAGGTCAAGTTGTGTTCTTTCTTCAAAGATTTACTTATCTGTCCTGTCGGCGGCCTGTTTGTTCACAGCTAAACCTTACCTCACTACAGATTCAAGGGACTTTTCTTTATTACTGCAATAGACCAAACATGACAAATCTGTAGGTTCTATCCATGAGAATAATCCATCCAAATCCAATTTTAATTCTTTTGCTCAGTACCTAAAAAATAGCTTCTATGATTCTAATAAAAATAACCCAGATAAAGTCTCACATTCACACAATGTTGAAAATCAGCAAACCCTCCATACAGCAAAAGGGAAGGTATAGCCCTATTTCTGTTATACTTGCTCATTCCTTGTTGGCTTTCCCTTTTCTCTTTACTATTATCGTATAATGAACTTCATTATTGCCCTTTGTTTAACACTAACTCTTCCTTATTTTAATCCATGTTTTCCAAATAATGGTTTGGCATCTCAGCATAACTGCTTCTTTTTCTTATTTTAAGAATAACTTTCCATTTTGAGGAGATAAGCTTCATAGTTTTGAAGTTGAGGAAATTAGCGGATATTTGAAGCAGACCTCAACACAACACAATACACGGGGATCTGTGTAGCTCTTGCTCAAGAGGGGTGCAAGACAAGACAAAACAAACAAACCCACCACAAAATTGCGTAAATTATGTAGACAATCTCAGTTCAATTTTCACCTCCCTCCTTTGTCACTGCAGAATTCAGGATCTCTCTCATCCTGAAAACTTTGGATACATTAGAAAACTAATTTATCCTGCCATCTTCAATACTTTTACTTCATCGCTTATTCCATGTGTTTACTACTCAAGAGTGAAACAGTTCTGCTTCTATTAGACCAAACTGTGACCACCTAAAGTTGGGGGGGGGAGGGGGGGGAATATAAAGAAATACAGTTATCTAAATTTGTTTCTAGATCTCTGCCAAAAGTAAAAAATAAGAGGTGGATTTTTTCTTACAAAAAGCAAATCCTTGAGGCATCCTTTAAACACCCCCTCCAAAGAAACAGAGGTTGAATTTATAACCAAAAACTTTCAGTACCACATGCAACTTAAGTAGCACAACTGGTAGCACTATGGAAGATTTATGGCTTATGACTTGCTCATATTTAATTTGTAACCAAACACTTCCCCTTCCTCTTAGCTACCTTAGAACTTTTGATTAACTCTTGTTTTCACAGGTCATAGGTTAAACAAAGGAAGGGAAGCGCTCTGGAGTGAAATTGCCCAGAGCACCATAGCATGCGAGCACATGCACGCGTGCACACACACACACACACACACCCCCCTTCAAGCAACATCAAAAAAGCGATAGACTAGAGATTCTTCAAGGGAGTTGAAGTTCAAAGACTCCAATAAGCATAAATCAGATTGTGGTTGAAGAGTAAACAAAAATAAAAGGGCAATCTGAAATTTTAACTTTTTTAAATTTTACACCCATTTTCAGTCTCCTCACAGACTTGTATACACACTTATAGTGACATATTTGCCAGAAATCACGAGAATCAAATCAAAGCCTAATCAAATTAGGCTTCTTCAAGCTGAGAGATTGGTTTAGCACTCTACTTTTCTCTCCCTCTGAACCTTCGGTGTGCGATGCAGTCTGAGTGCTGGAGACAGGCCAGTCTGACGGGAAACAAATATGAGCACAGGAAAACTGCTTATTATGCTACATAAGGTCTGCACAAACTCTACTGCACAAGTTGCACAGTACCTTATTCAGTAACTCATATGTCATCACCTTTTTAGTGCACTCCTTGAAAGTACAAAACATCATTAGTTACATGTGTCATAGCAATTAGGGTCAGTCAAACCGTTAAGACAACAGTGCTGCATTGCAGCTTGTAAATACAAATGCTTCCAAAATGTAGTGTTTAAAGAACAGTGGTGCAAAAACAACTGACAAGCCAGGCTGAGACAACAGGAAAGATATAAAAAGCAGCAAATTAGCATGATAACAAACCCCAGCAATCCCTATGGGTAGGGTGTTTGCAGTTATGAAGAGTACTTTAATGGAGTACACTTGCAACAAGAAGTAGAGGCTTTTGTACTCTGACTCCACAGCAAGCTGAGGGGGATGGGGGAAGGCAGAAGGATGCAGATGACCGGTGCACCAGCAGCTGCAAAAGGTACAACGCGCCAGCCAGCACTGCTCTCACAAGTCCAATCTATACTTCAAAAGTTACACTGAACAGAAAATGTCATCACCCAATATTAGCTGCTACACAGATGAAAATGCTGTACTGCAGTCAATTTAGCTTTGAATTTTTCAACGTATTAATCCACTTGTGCGCTTTAACGTACAAAAGGAAAAAACTACTCTATCACAGCAGCACATGTGAGGTCACATTTTCTGACCTCCAGAAAGGACTGCAACCAAAATTGGAGAATATTAAGCTAGCCATTTTGAAATGAAGCAACTGCATTTATATGCACATATACACACATACACACACAAACCATGCTTGTATGCATACATACGCGCGCATATTGTCATTCCACAGCAAGAAGGATGCAGTAAGAGATGGCCCAATAGAACTTCCTTTAATGATACTAAGTTGCCAACAGCAATGAAATCAGGCAGAAAAGTGGATTTCCAGGATCCTCCTACTCTCATTAAACACTTAATACGAAAGCTTTTAAAAACAAAACAATTAACATTGTAAACAATCTTTTTTTTTTTTTTTTAATAATTAAAAAGAAATCCCCCCTCCAGCTGACTCACACTAGGGAACATTAATTGAAACTAACACTTCAAATTTAGCCAGGTCAAATAGTACCTATGGATATAAAGCAGAAAGGCCACAGCAGCACACCAAAAAATGACACCTCATTTTAATCTATTACTGGTCCAAGCTCTCTTCTAGCCTGTTTGACATGGGCAATTTTGGAAACAAAATTTCAGTATCTACAGCCACAAACGTAAGTTAGCCTATGGCAGTAACTATACAAGAAGGCACTGCAGATCTCACTGTACTGCTCTTGTATCCAGTCTACCATGCAATTAGCCAATTTTGGATTTCAAATGAAGGCAAACTTCCCCCTTTAAAAACACCTTAGCTTACTGGAAGATTTAAGGATCATGCTTCATAACTTTAGTACTG